GAGAGACTAGCAGAAACTACAATCATATCAAAAACATCAAATTTAATTTAAAAAAAAATTAGTACTCTTTCTTATTTCTTGTAAATGAAGTCAAATCTTGCAAAAATTCAGCACGAAAAAAGCAAGAATAATGTGTTTTTTTTCAAGGTTTTATTTAAAATATTGTGCCCGATTTTATCCCGATAACACTGGTTTGTTTATGCAATGAGAGCAGAGATTACATCATTCTTTAAGCAGCTAACTGGCCTTTTTGGTGTTATTCTGATATTGTTTTTGGAACATTTTCCATTTAATAAACAAATTGATCCCTTTTTAAATCCAAATTCATTGCTTCTCCGACTTTTTAGTTATCGATTTTTGATGCATATTTTTAATATCAGCCAAACGCTCAAACTTTAAAAAATGTTTTACCTGTGATCATTTTTCCGTATTAAGTTGTGGTGGTTTAAAGATTACTAATCTTTAAACTATTAAGGTGCGCTTTTTTCGTGCTATTAACGCTTGAGCGGATATTAAATTGCTTTCTTAAATCTTTCCAAATTCAGTTGAGGCATGCTAAATGTTCCATTAAAAACTTTGCAATGTGCAAAAATTAACGCTTTTTACTTAACATAGCGTGTGGGGGGACTTCGAAAAAATCTCAAAAAGCTTTTTTGTAGAGCTTTGTAGAGATCTAATGAGGTGTTTCTTAACAATCTGATCAAATCGAACACCCCTGAAAACTGACTTAGAAAATTGTGAGCAAAGAAAAGCTTAGCGCAGTTTATTTTTTGCAGAAATTGGATCTCGCAAAGAATTGAAAACGATCTCTTGATCTCCAAGTTTTCTCATTTTCGAATTGACAATTCAACTACAAGCTTTTTTGTTATTTTTCTACGCGCGATTGGGGATACAAAAGTATCTGATGTCACCTTAGCCGGCTCTCAGAAGCAATCAATTTTGTTCAAAAGATTTACAATCCAATGATCCTTTTATTTCCAAATAGCAAAATTTATTTGTAGATGGGGACACTTTTGTTTCGCTTTTCTTTCCTTCAAAGTGTTTTCTTTGTCGAATAGAACCTGAATTGAATAAAGGAGGGAGCGAAAAAACAGAAAATTATGCCATTAACTTCTTGATAAACTGAACAAGAATGGCAGAAATTATATGAAAATAGCATGCATGCAACATTTTGACCTATTTAGATTAAGCCAAAAAAGAGTCTTGATAAAAACCACGACTTTCAAATCCGAGCAGTGAGGCTGTTGGTTCATCAATAGTTTGAATTATGTTTGAAAAAGCAGCGGTTCAAAAAGGCCAAGATTAATTTGAAGTGCAAAGAATAATATAGTCTTGTTTCTTTTAAAAATTCTCTGAAGAATTACGAGTCGAAATTTGTTTTCTAAAAAATGCGTTGTAGTTTTAAAATAATCAATAAAAATTTTCTAATTTTCGGCGACCACAATTTTATAAATTTTTTTGATAGTTTTCATTTCAAGTCTTCAGTGTATGAGTTTCAATGATAAATTCAAAATGTGTTCCAACTTATATCAGAAGCCATAAATGAACTTATCAGCACATCAAATCTCGCCAAACGCTTGTCTGGTCTGGATTTAATTCCCCAACCCCTGTCCCATTCGTGTTTTGAAATTTCCTTCAGGGCTGGGTTAGCCTTCTTTCAGTCCACTAAGCCATTCAGCCATTCAGTCAAACTATACTAAGTCCTCAAGGCGAGATTGCTCTCTTCAATTCAGACTCAGATTGTTCAATTCAATCTCCCCCAACCGTGACAAAGCAATCTAGAAGAGCACCAGCAACGTTGACATGCAAGAGTGATTTGCATAAGGTACATAAGGGTACTTCTGCCAGGAAAATGAAAGCCAATTTTACAGAAGTTATGCACAAGGGATTGTTCGTTAATTGAGTTTTTCAGCAAGATTTAAAAACCTGCTGAGTGGAAAATTGGAAAAACAGAAAAGATTTTTTGGCCTGCAAACTAGTTTGATTTTGAATAGAAACAGGACTACTCGTATGAGAGCAAAGTGAGAAGAAAAGTTCCGACTGGCCTTTAATAAGTCTGATATGTTTTTGGCAAAAAGAATCCACAAAAACAAAAAGCTTCATTTTTTGCTATTGCACTTCTTATGTGCTCAAACGGAAACTGAAGCGAAATACAGAAAAAATTGGCTTCACACAATTTACACTAGACGTTGATAGAATAGACAGTTGGAATTTTTTGCAGTGGCAATTTGAAATTGGAAAAATTTTGTTGCTGGTTCAGAATATCAAAACGTTTCAGATGATATAAAAACTGCTCAAAAGAAGCTAGTTTAAATTCAAAACTTGTCCGCGGAAGTACACGGCGAGCTCAAAAATTACATCTTTTCTTCGAAATTTGAAAAACATGACTTCACCTATCAAAATGAAACTCTAAACTTTTTGAATGCCTTTCAACCAGTTTTCTCAGACCACAATGTCAAGATGAGGTACTTTTTCTGCGTCTAGTATTTCAAAATGCGGACAAAATAATTAACAAGCAAAAATTGTAGTAATCGCTGAGTCGGATTTTTTTAGTCCCCACGCTTTAACTGATAAGTTTAAATACAGTTAGGGTGCATTAATCGCCCTAAATTTATCGAGTTGCCCAATTGGCAATCCCTTAAACATAATAAAAATGACCGCTTTACCATAGTTTGACAATAGTTGATGGAGTCATACATACCAAAAACAAAAAAAGTCTAAAAATTGATAAACATCCCAGCGCTGGCAAGCTAGCGAAAAAATCCTTAGTCATTATTCAAGAGCCCAGTTGTCCGTAGATTTTGAAAATGTAAGAAAAATTAGTTATAAGCAAGGAGTAGATTTGTCTAAAAAATGCTTTTTCGTTGCCCGAAAACCAAGAATCTTTTTCAAAACTCCGGAATATTATTCTTCTTCAAAATGATAATTTTTTCAAAGATTCAAATATTTGCTCAAAATGTAGTTTTGATGCAATTTCCATTATAAGCTATACGCTTTTAATATTTCATCTTTAAATTTTTTTAAGCTTGTTGACTTCTTGACGAACAAATAGCTTGTGGTGTCTAACATTGTGAACTTTGCCTAAAAAATAACGTGCATTTAAACGTCATATCATATTTAAGTCTAATATTACCGGTACCTAAGAAACAGACATTTTTTAAAATTCTGATCACTTCTTATTTCACTGGCTCTTCGAATAAAAAAGAAAACCAAATTAATTTTAATTTTGAGTTGTTTTACTTCTTTTATGCAAATATTACCTGTATTGAGGAGCCTAAGATTCGCATCTCAAGAAAACGGATGAATTTATGTAATAAATTTTTACAAAAAGATTGATTGAAAAATGAAATTTTTTAAAATATGATTTTATATAATTATAATTCATAAGCACAAAAAACGGAAGGTTGTTTTTTTCCCAAATTTTTATAAAAATGGGCTTAATTTTATCAAACTTTTGCTCATGGTTTTTGAATTTAAATTTTTGGTTGTATTAAGAGACTACGTGTCAAAATTTTGTATCTCCATATCAAATTTGCAAAAACCTTGGCAACCTGTCAATGAAAGTCCATCGCTAGAGCTATCCTAGAAGTTAAGCCTGGCCATGGGAATAACACTGCCAAAGTCTTGCAGTCATTGCCCTGGACTTCCTTGATCGGCCTCAGATTTCAATGCTGATTGCCAAAAAATTTCGTTGGGATCCGCTGCGAAGTTTTCGGTGAAACTTAAAACACTGTCTAAGGGATCCAAAACTGTCCGAAAAACAATAAGAACCTCGCAGAAAAATTATTTTTGGAAATTTGCTATTTAATTTATTATAGCAAACTTCACACAAATTTATATTAAAGAAAAGTAACCTTGTGTATATGACTAGAGAACTTCTACGATAAAAAAAATGTGTTTTTTGACAATTCAAGGATAATCATGCCATTTTAAAGCTCAAAAACAAAAGTTGTGGCTTCACAAAAAATGCAGATCGAGGTTTTCGGTTATTTTGTGCAAAAAAATGAGTCTGGGTTATGTTAAAGACAAATATTTCGAGTTTTGCCTGCAATTTTTTTTCGGGACACTTTTAAGCAAAAACTGATTTCGCATTTTGGAACTTTTTTCCACGAATATCAAAAAGCACTGTTGTATTAGATGACTTGAAATAGTACTTAGCCAGTGTCCAGACCAGGTTTTCAAGAAAGAATTATTCCATAATAAATCGATCAGACACATCAACGTCGGTTTGCTAATAAGAAAATTTTTGAAAAAAAAGTATCTTAGACGTCCTGGCAAGTTAACTCAAAAAAATTTGGGAAAAATTAAACTTCTTCGGTTTTATCGACTATAGCCATAAAAACAATTTTTTTCCTCACATATATTTTACTCTCATATATTTTATTCTCACTCTCTTGACTTAAATTAAGTTCCTCGATACAGGCAATTTTTCAATTCATTTAGTAAAACAACTCAAAATCGGAATTGATTTGATTGTTTTCCATTCGAATAACTTTTTGCAGAGGTGGATCGGGGCAGACGCTTTTCCCTTCACGTGTTGTTTTCCTTTCAGGAAGTTTTCCCTTCGGAACCTTTTTGGTTTTAATTTATGCCATCCCTTACAAGCGGACCAACCCTAAGATATCTTCCGCGCCAATATATACCAACTTTGAATGGACGCACGCCAATATAACGCAACTTTTTGGTCAAAATATTGCAAAAAGAGACTAAGAATGGCATTTCTGGCCTGTTTTTTTTTTTCTATTTAAAATTGCCTGCAGAAAATTATGTCGAAGTAAGTTTTTTGAGTGTTCTCGGAGCGCTCGGGAAATCATTTTGGTAGACCTAAAAAAAACAAAAAAAAACTTTCAATGTGAACTGAATATAAGCTGAAATTAAGCTCCTCAATTTAATAGCGCAAATGATGTAAGTTAACTCAAAATCAGAATTAATTTGATACAGTTAAATTCTCAGACGAGCTTTTGTGGTAGAATGACTAATTTGGCAGTTGTTCATTTCAGGTCCGGCCGACGAGGTGCAAGTTGGAATCCAAGTGTACAGCATCGGACCCATCTCAGAGGCTGATATGGTGAGAACAAAAGACTATTGACCTTCATTTCCCCCTCCCCCATTTGACATCCAAGTTTGGCTGAAGACTAATTTAGCTATTCCAAATATCTTTGGTCTCTACCCGATCCTAGTTCAATTGATAATTTCTACCTTTTTTGTCTGCAAAAACTGCATTATAATAACATTTGCTGCAGTATGAGGATCTGTGGAGTCGTAAAGTTTCATTTATTCAGGTTTTATTATGAAGTCTCGGCTCATTGCTGCATTTAACTATTGCTGCATCAGCTTATTGTATACACATTATATATACCCTACTTTGTAGTAAGAACCCGCCTCGAGGTTGTGGTTTTATGATCAGACGGTTGCGGCCAAATTTTGGTATTTCCAGACTGCCGCAACTGAAATTGAGGCGGATAATCAACAAACCGCCATGTCTACAAACCGCCATATCTTGAAGCCGAAATTGCATCAGAATACAGTAAATAACACCAGAATTACGTAACAATTGCATAACAACAATGACAATCTGTTGTTATGTTGGATAAAAATATTAATTTTCGGCTTGTTGGAATGGTAATCCTATTTTCGGTTTGTTGGCCCTTCGGCTCGTTGGCCAACCACCGAAATTGGATACTTTCAGGCCGCCGCGACCAAAATTTTTTATTTCCAGTTTTTGTGAACCGGTGCATTACATTTACAACTTGATTTTTTTTTGCGAGGTGGAGGGGTGGGACAAAAATGAGTCATTAGGATTTTACTATTTCACTGCAGCAAGGTTAAGAGGAGCTTAATCATTTAAATACCTCTTCCAGTAGCGAATGGAAAGGGTGTGGATGTTTCGACCCTCAGGGATTCGACCCCCTGACTACTTAAAGGATCCCCTTTTTTTTTTACTATTTCAGGAAATCCAATTTTAAGTAGTCGACTCTAAAATGTTTCTTAAAGTATTACACTTTATTGCGAGCCAAAAAAAAACCAGCGAATTTTTGGTCAAAAGCGTCCAAAAGATCCAAAAAACATCTTACGGCCTTGTTTTTTAAAAACTAGTCTTTGTAGAGATGATTTGGGAAAGCGTGGACAATCAATTTGGTCCACCTAAAAAGGTGGACAAATATTTCGAACACTTTTTGAAAACCCGCCCCCTCCTCGAGAAAATCTTAGATCCGCCATTGTCCCCTTTTCATATTATAAAGTTTATTTAAGCTTTTTAAAATGCGATGATCTTTTAACTAGCGAACAAAAACAAATTGAAAACAGTGTATTTCGTTCATTTCTTCATCGATCGCAATCGGAATATCACGCGTTAACAGTAAAAATTCAATAAACATATGGTTTTGAGATGAAAAGATGAAAGGAAATTGGTATTGAGCTTGTTGAAATTAAAGTTCACCATTAAAACGCTTTCTTTTTTTCAAGCGAGTGCTTGTGAGATGTTGCTTAAAAGCATCGAAAAGGTACCAGTTGAGGTCAAGTATTTCATTCAATTTTTAAAAATTTAATAATGATAGTCGATTGCTATGCAAGTTGCAACTACCATCAGAATGTTGCAACTACCATCATTTGGTATAGAAATTCAGATCTAAAGGGGAAAAATTGAAAGAATAGTAAAGTAAAGTCACTGGTGGATCCAGGATTTTCTCGAGCTCTAGGAGGGTAGCGGATTTTCGAAAAACGTTCAAAATATTTGTCAATTTGTGTAGGTCGACCAAAATTATTTTTCTAGAGCTCTCCGAAATAAATATAAAGTAAATTCCTCTTCAAGCACTTTTTGGAAAGTTTTCACCAAAAAATCCCTTAAAATTAGTATATATTGGAGCCAGAGGCGACTTTCGAAAAATTTTAGGGTCTGTTAGTGAAAAATAGAGGCTGCAAAATTGTTCCAAAAGAAGGGCTCTTTGGCCGGCGATGGGGTCGAATCTCTACCGGAGTTAATTTAAATAGGGCAATTAAATTAAGTAGGGCAGTTAAATCTGTGATGGGCAGTTATTTAAAATAAAAAATGGAAAATGAGAGGTACTTATAGCTACAATATAGCATAAATAGGAGTTTTTTTCCGTTTCGCGCACCAAAAAAAATCAAAATATCAAAAAATTGGAAAAATCTTTTTTTCGATAACATACGCCCCCGAGGGTTCAGATAGGATAGGATATTGCATTCAATCTTTTTGAAATTTTCGTGTAGACAAAATGTTTTTAACTGGTCGGAACGTCGCGTTTTGCATAATAAAACAAGGATTTCCGGTTACTGTGCAAGTAGCACAGAATGTTCCGACCATAATCTTAAAAAATACATTAAAGTTTTTTCAAATTTTTCAAATTTTTGTGATTTTCTTCGGCGTGGTGTGATAAAAAGAACTGAACAAAAAAATAGGGATTTGGTATAATTGACAGTCATAGTAAAATACGCAAATTGTAAAACTATTTTTGTGAAAAATTTTACTAGAAAAACAAAGAAAAACTAAAAAAATATTTTTTTTTCAAGTTTTTCAAGTTTTTTTCTGCAGTTTTTTGAATTTTTGAAAATTGTGATTACAAATAGACACTTGAATTCTCAAAGTAAGCTAATGTTACTCAAGTAAAACTAAGTTGTTACTTTTTAAATTAGACTCTTAGCTTTTAAGCAATTGAAATAAGACTGCTCGCTCGCTTTAATCGCTCGAAATAAGACAAAAAATCAAAAATTTTAAACCAGTTTTTCAAATTTGGCTCGAATCACGACTGTAAGGGCTTTAATATAATATAGCTTTCCACCCAATTCGATGATTACTTGTTGTTTTTGATTTTGAGTGGAGAACAATAAAAGTAAAATACTGAACACACCAGAATACAAAAACGGCTTGGCATGATTTAATGCTTTGAAACCTATTGTGATGTTAGCCTCAAAAAATTCACGCTATCAAAAAAGTCATTCATCTAATTTCATTTGTATTTTACTCTGTTTCATTAAAAAAGAGATAATGGTTTTCAGCACAAATGAAACTACCACAAGTTTCTGTAAAAACTTCAAATAGACCTTTTCACCTACAGCTTCATTTATCTTCAAAGCTTGAAGCAGTGTTTGCAAATTATGATTGGCAAATTGTTTTGCGAATGAGCTGCAATGACGAATCTAGTTTCCTGAGTTTGCAGAGTTTGCCTTCTTTATCCTTGAAACTTTTATATCAAAATGTACAAAAATTGATATCAAGATTGACGTTTAAAAAAAAGAAAAAATATTTCGTTGATGTGCATAGCGGCTAGATTATACGAAATGTTTTTTTTTTGTAACAAACATACGTTTAAATGAAATTTTTTTTAGAGAACATTCTATTATCAAAAATATTATACATTTTCAAAACCAAAACAAACTGGAGTAAAATCAATTGTACTCATTAGAAAAAGTTTCACAATACAAAATTTTCAACAGTAGAAAAAAATTTCACAATATGCCATGTTAAAAAAATCTTTGAAACAGCATCTCTGAAAGTTTCCTGCAATTTGTTACTGGGAAATCTAGCTGAATCTAAAACCATGAGATTTAAGGAAAATTGCAACGAAAATGAATGCTAAAAGAGTGTAACAATTTTTATAGCTACTTTAAAAAAATGCTGACTTTTTGGTTGAGCCAGCAAAAATTGAAGATAACAGGTTTAACATAGTCGTATTTATGATACAATCTTTGAAAAAATTTTTAAAAAACTAGCGGTGCTAAGAAAAAAAATGGCTCCAAAATATCATATCAATAAAATTTACTATCATAACAGAATTGGTCCCTTATCTTTTTATCAAACTCAATTCATTATATTGTGTTTATGTTAAAACAACTTTTCGCATTTTCTGGCGAGCGCTGAGGTGCTGTTTTTTTTTGTTTTTTAAATGTCAAATGATGAAAAAACTATCATAGAAATTCTTCAATTTAAAAATTTGACCAAAAAACCAAAGAAAATAGGTGTTTTTAACGTTTTTTTTAGATACCAAAAAAGCACTTTGCTAGTTTTCTTAACTTTTCACGTTGAGTACTTTTATTGAGTACTTTACAAATCGGGAAATTTTTTCATTTTATGACATTTGAGTCATAATTATTCTGGATCAGATTGTTTCAGTTTCTTTGCACTTCAAGATTGGAAACTAATTCTTTTTCATGGATTTTGCTGAGAAACAGTAGGAAAGAAAGAAAGAAAATATAGTATTTTTGAAACCATTTTTTTGTGTTTTTTCTGAGATTTTAACCAGGCCCCAAAAGATTCTGCTAGCTGCATAATTGGCAGAACTCGGCTTATAGAGCAGCAGATAGAGCAAATTTTTTTCATACGGTTGAAATATTTTTCAAAATAATTGAAATCTAAGCTGAAATGCTACATGGTGTTTCAAATGTACTGTTATTTCGCAAAAACTGGTTTTTTCATAACCGTTGATCCGCTTGACTTCGGATTTGGAGAGAATGTGCAACATTGACGGAATATTGATATAAAATAAAAACTGCATTGGTTAGAACGACGTGATGAAAAATATCCGCAATTTTCCAAATGTTTCTTGTTTTGAAGCTACAATCATTTCGTTAAAACTTTTCTTCATAA